TGAAAACTCAATATGATTGATTTGGATAAAAAGACTTGTTTTATGTAGGAGATGAGACATGATTAGAATTCTTTGTCTCCATGCATTTATTGCCATTCAATATATAAATTTAGATGTTGATGACTTTGATCACCATTGTTACACCAATGAGTCCATATTGCAAGCATATCGGTTTCCTTTTATGTATATTTCAAGGCTTGATAATTGGCCATAAATTAAAGAACACATCCCCATCAACTCACCTATCATTAAATTATAGTCTAATAGGCCTAAGAAACAATAAAAGCAATAACAAACTAAACCCCAAGCACCTAATCCGTATAAAATTAGTATAAAAGGAGTAATTATGACTTGAAGCAATTGAAAAGCTAAAGGGAAAAACATTATGGGTTGTCCATAACAAAAAAAAAAAAAAACCTAATACCAAGCCTCGTACATGGAAGAAGAAGGATTATAATAATAATAAAAATTTTAGTTATTCTTGTCCAATTCGGTGCACTTGAATCACAAGTCACACAATAATCATCAAATGTTACTAAGAAAGATTAACAAATGCAAAAGAAAAGAGAAAGCAATTGCTACTAAAACCGAGACTTGTCAATAAGAAACTAGTAAGTGTTTATATAGTTGTTTACTTGTTGTATAAAATTTTATAATATGATTTTTTATATATATTTATTGTGTTTGTGAAGATTTATAATATCTTCTAGTTATTGTTGGTTGTTCTTGCTAATGTTACTTGTGGTTGTTATTGCTTGGTATAGTTGTGGAGTTTTGTTTGGCATGTCATGATCATCGAGTTATAGCATAATCATGAGTTTGTGACTAGTGTTACTAGTGTAATTATGACCATTGATATGGATTATTATTTGGCATGCCACGATTGTCGATTATAGCTCGGTCATGAGCTTATGGTTGTTATTACCGGTGTATACTATGATCTGTTGATGTAGTTATTATTTGACATGCTATGACTATCGGTTATAGCATACATGAGCTTAAATAACAGACATGCCCATAACTATTATCACCTAATACATGTAACTATGCATATTCATGGTGATACCGGTTTGAGTGGTGGTTATATAAACGATGCTAGAGTTAGCTATAAAAAGAGCAATCATGCTTATTAACTTAGAAAAATAGTTTTAAACCAACAAGACAATCAACAAGAATCAACAAAAATAAGATTCCATATAAGATTTGATATTTTATATTAGATAACACATAGTTTTGGGACATCGATTGAAACTTGACTTTTGATTATGTAAATGACAAAACTATGACCTTATTTTGTGTTAATAGTAGTGTGTCATTTACATTAACAAATATTAGCTAAACATTGTAATTAGATATGAGAACCATACATTTTGTAGAAATATGAGAATAGAATAATATATTTCACATATTGAAGTGCATAAGTACAACATAAATATAGGCCTAATATCAATCTAAATCCCTAGAATCAAGTCGAAATCCTTAAAATTAAGTCGTCATTAACTTCCTAGAAATTAGCTCCTCAACCTGACCTTATAATTAACATCCCTATAATTGACTTACTATATTTACATGAGAATCAATTCTATACTTGGACTTACTATATTTACAACACATTTCATTTTATATTTATATTTTTAATAATGCCAATAGTAGGATTATATGGATTGGCTAATATAAACCTTATATTTATTCAATGAGTGAACGTTTTAATTCAATCAAGTGTCTTTTACTTAGATATTCTTATTATTGTCCATTGACAAATCTCTTATGGTATTACTTGCTCAATCAATCATGGTTTACAATTATACACAAACCATACACGGATGGATAAAATAATATTTTTTTAAATATGAGATATAAAATCATCGCTAATTTGTATTCCTTTCTTAATCAAATTTACAACAACAACACCCATTTATTTTCTTAAATAAAAAGTAACAAACACCCACATATGTATACCCCTATCCCAAAAAGCTCTCAATAATGACTTCAATTTATTAATCAATCTAGCCATCCCTGGAACTTCTTAATTTAACTCTTGCATCTCCATACTCATTTTTTTTTAAGTTTTACGAACTCGAGCAAGTTTATTAGTTCACAAAAGTCTATAAACTTGCTTCTTTTACGATAAAAATATAGCGAGATTTGAGTTTTTCTTAGACTACGAAATCCTCAAAAGCACCTTGCATCTACATTCACAATTTTTGTTATCATATTTGATGTATAATTCATTTGACCATACTCTGTACCAACATAAGATTGAAGAGATGAAGAAGACATTTTATCAAACACTTGGTGGATGATTACTAAGACAAACACTAACGAAAAAAATAAAGAAAAAGATTAGTTTTTTATGGCTTTAGTACAAAATATCACACTTATTTTTCAATATAATACACATAAAATGGAATAGACATGAAAGAAAAGGAAGAAGGGAATGAGGGCATTTCTTTGTGTGCTAATTGGAGAAGAGAGAAATAAGTGTTTTTTCGTTTGTTTGTTTCATGTGTTAACACCGCAGGAATTTTAGGGATTTAGGAAGGAAAAAATAAATGGTGAGAGACAGAAAGAGAGAGGAAATGAGGGAAAGCAAAACAAACGAGGGAAAAGAAAAGGGCAATAGTTGTTTGGTCATTTTACTCTTACATACATGTCACGTGTGCTTAGATTTTAGTCAACGAGAATCGATTGACTTAATTGCAAAACAAAAAATAGTTATAATATTCGAATTGAAAAAATTAAAGTTAAGAGTACCAGTCTCTGTTTGATTGATTGTACAAGAAAATATCGAACCAATGAGCCATAAATGAACCAAGTTATATGGTAACTTCTTTAACTATTATGTAATTAATTTATTAGAAAATTTAATGTCAATTAAGAGTATTAAATGATTCATACAAGTTGAACCCTTCACATATATAAACTTGTTTACTTTACTTTCCAGTTTAACAACATCAAATAACTAACCTATTCACTTAATGGTCTCGTCCCTAGATTTGCATACCTTTTCCCACCAAAACACGTCCATGAATTTTACATTCTTGAAATAACAATAAATTATGAAATTGAACTATTTTACAATTTGATCAACATCAAATAACTAACCTGTTCACTCAATATCTTTAACTATTTTATAATGAATTTTGTTAGGAAATTGAATACCAATTGAGAGTATTAAATGATTCGTACAAGTTTAACCCTTTACTTATTTACATTTGTTTACTTTATGTTCTAATTTTATCAATATCAAATAACTAGTCTATTCACTTAATGATCTCGTCTTTAGATCGACCTACCTTTACCTAGCAAGACACTTTCATAAATCCACCTTTTTTGAAATAGCAATAAATTGTTATTTCACTTCATTCGTTTATGAACAAGAAAAAGTTTTGATTTTTGTTTTTATAGCTCATGTGCATATTTAAAAGAGGCGTTACTGAATATTAATACAAGTGAATATATATATTATTTTGCCTTATTAATATCATATAAAATTAAAATAATATACAAGATGACATGATATTGAAAATTGAAACATGATTTTATAATAACACTAATGCACGTAAGGCTTATGTTAAATAATTTTTTTAAATCACATTTATTAATAGTATTTCATTAATCTAATGCCAATTGTTTCAAATTAAAATCCAAATATGGGTTTCCCTCACTGAAAAAACAAAAAAGTATGAATAAATTTTTACGTCACCAATGTTTTGTAACAGAAAATTAACTAATACAATCATGAATTAAAGGATGAATTTTTTTAAAAAATTACAACTTATGCAACTGTTTTATTCGAGATATTTTTTGATTATTTCTAACTGTACATCTATATACATTAAAATTTAAAAAATATTGTTAAATAGTAAAAAAAAAAATTATCAGCAATAAGGGTGTCTTTAAACTAGTTTTTACATACTCTAAAATTAATCTCTTTCTAAAGGTGGTTAAGGAAAACTCTCTAATACACGATTTTGAGAATAAATTCTCAAGAATGTTGACTATAGGAATCGAACTCTGGACATGATTTACATGTCGACGTTTGCTTACCAATAGACTACCATCTTGTGGTTAATTTTTTTTAATACATTATGCTAATATGAAAAATATTTTAAGATTATTAAAAAATTTAGTCTGAATTAAGATATAAGTTTATTCGAAGATATTCTTTCCTTTAAATGAAGAAGAAAAAATCACAAAGATAAAATAATCGGACAGAAAAGAAAAATAAATGGATAAGAAGCGGGTCTCTCCTTCCTCCAATGGATAAAAAGAATCTTACAATAAAAAAAAAATGTCTAATTTTTTCCAATTAGTTAACAGCCTCACATTTTTATTACCGTAATCTTCTTAAGACCCACAAAAAGGCCAAAAATCTAACAACGACGCGTGTCGTTAAATTTGAGCCACAAGAACTCCAATGCCCCTTCTCGAATTTTCCTAGGAAATTATTTTTCTATAATCTGACGTGGCACCACCACCTTTCCCTTTCCCTTTTCTCTCTTTTTATCTCTCTTCTTCCTTCCCCTGTTTTTTGCATTTCATTTCTCTCTGTTTCCTTCGCTCTTCCTCTCACATATTTTCAGCACGGCTTTTCTGCGAATCAGATTCTAAACTGATTCCTTAACCCTTTGGTTTCCCTTTTTTTTTTTTGTTGCTGCTATTAGTCAAGACAGAACTGAACTGAACTGAAAGTGTTCTGTTTCAGTTTCAGCAATTTCAGTTACCTGGGATTGGAATCGGATTTTTATTTCCTGTTCTGGTAAGTTTTTTTTGTTGATCTGATTCTTTCTTTGACTGATAATTTATTATGTACAGTACTGTAGCAGCAAAAATATCTGATGGTAAATATTTGGAATTTGCAAGGAAAAGGAAAATTAAATGGAAATAAAAATCTAGTGGGTTCTTACAGTGTTCTTTGATTAAGTTGATGATGATGTTAATTAATGACATTAATGTTCAGGGGATTTTTACCGATTGGATAAAGAAAACCCATTTCCATGGCTGCTGCTGCTGATGATGCTAAGGTATTTAAATTCTTGTTTCCTTGAATTTAAGATGTAAAGGCTTTGTGCCTAATTATGTTGCTTTTTTTTTTTTTTGGGTTCTTTTTGATGAGTTAATTTTATGCCCTGTTTATATTTATAAACTGGGTTATTTAAGACCTGAAATGGGTTTCTTTATGATGCTGTAAATGGCAAATGAATAATTACAGCATTTTTTTCTTTGATTACTGATTAGTGGATGGTTCCATTAGAATTTTTGTATTAAGTCTTGCTTGGAATTGAATTTAGAAGATTGTAATTTAAGATTCTGAGTATTAAAAAAAGTAGGATGTAGTTGCGCAGTTCTGGTAGCATTGAAGTGGAGTCCTGTCAGAGAATTATGGATACATTTTAGTTATAGCATCTGTAAGTTGATTGGCAATGGTTGTTGTGATTCAGCCTTTCGGGTTCTGGGTGTGTAGAAGTAGTAATTGAGAAAGCGGCTCATCATGTTGTTGTTTTGTTACATAATGCAGCATCTTTTATTTCCATTTTGAAATAAAAGGTTGGGGAAATGTTTTTTGGTTTGGTGTCATCCATTGCGTGTTCACTCCCCTTGTTTCTATTTCCTTCCAATAGAAATTTTAGTATATTTTCTTGCTAGTTTTAGGAGAACTTTTAGGCTAATTCTTTTGATTTCGATACAGGAGCAAATTGAAGGCACAAGGCCAAACTCCTTTGGTCAAGCTAGTGATTCCTGTGCTGATGGTGGTGAACAATCTGAAACTGTTCTCCAGCAGAAGGAGTTGTACTCATTTGGGAGTGACAATATTCCCAAGGTTCCATTCTTTCCTATTGTGGGGCAATCATGCTCGCCTTTCTGATGTGATTATGCGATGACTGCCTTTTCCATTTTCCTTTGTTCACTGTCTTGGAATTTTCCTCTCTATTTCAATAGGTGAGGAAGCCTTACACGATTACAAAACAAAGGGAAAAATGGACAGAAGAAGAGCACCAGAGATTCCTGGAAGCTTTAAAGCTGTATGGTCGTGGCTGGCGGAAGATACAAGGCAAGTGTAATATAAGGTCATATTATCGTGCTTTGGAAGCTTTTCTCATGTGTTTTGATACGATGAAGTTGCTCTTTTCTTCATGCAGAGCATGTAGGCACAAAAACTGCTGTTCAAATCCGAAGCCATGCGCAAAAATTTTTCTCTAAGGTCTGGTTCTCCTGTCCAAGTTACCGACTTCTCTGTGATTATTAGGACCCCATAGAGTGCAAGCAATCTTCTGTGGGTTTATTTGATTGGAATGGCTTTCATATTAATATCATTTCTCTTCTTGATTTCAGGTGGTCCGGGAGTCAATTGGCAGCAACGAGAGCTCCCTCAAACCAATTGAGATACCCCCTCCTCGCCCAAAGAGGAAACCTATGCATCCTTATCCTCGTAAACCAGTTGATATCCTTGAAGCAACGCTATCATCTTGTCAATTGGAAAGATCTCCATCCCCTAATTCATCAGCATCAGAAAAAGAAAACCGATCACCCACCTCCGTTTTATCAGCATTGGGATCTGTACTTTCAGAGCAGCATAATGCATGCTCTTCACCTACCTCATGTACCACTGACATGCACTCTATTAGTTTATCACCTAATGCAAAGGAAACTGAACATGTAACATCAAATTCATTTGGAGAAGAGGAAAAGGGAACTTTCTCTTTGGTCCAAATGTCTTGTTCGCCCCTGGAGAAATTTTTGTCCAAGGTAAGATGAATATCCTGTCAAATCCAACTTGTTTACTATAATTAAGCCCATATCCTTGCTAGGTTTCTAATTCTATTGCCATTATTTTACTTTAATGATCAGAAATTTGAGATGGGTTCAGAGGACACTGTATGTGCTGAAGGTGATGCCCCAAAAGAAGCATCTTCCTCAAGTATAAAGCTTTTTGGAATGACAGTTATGGTAGCAGATTCACAGAGAAAATCTCCTCCAGGTGCAGAGCTGGTTTTGGCATCAACATCCAGTGAGAATCAAGACGATGTTGATGCTGAAAAGGATAGGCCTGCTCAGACGCCGCATTGGAAACCATCAGAGACGGAGTTATCACTTGGAATGGAAAATAGTGATCAGAATCAGTTGACATCTCCAGCTTCAGTTTTTGAATGCATTGAACTACAGAGGGGTGCTGCCAACTATTCTGCAACTAATCTTTCCATACCATGGTGGGTTTTTCACCAAGGCGTGCCATTCTTATCCCCCACATCATGTGGCCATACCTCCCAACACAAACCTATGCCTTCTTGTGAGGAAGAAAGGTCAGAAGAAAAGGAAATTCTTAATGAAAGATCTTGTACTGGTTCAAATGCAGGATCAGTTGGTGAATTGGAGAAAGTAGAGAGTTTGGTTGTTGTTGATTCTCAATGTGGACAAACTTCTGTTGAGGGAAAATCCAGCCACCAGAAGCGTGCAAGGGGTTTTGTTCCATACAAAAGATGTTTAGGAGAGAGAGATGTTAAGTCAATGCCGACTGTATACAAAGAGCGAGAGCGACAAAGAGCTCGAGTGTGCTCATAGCATTCCCTTCCTCGACTCTATTACCCTTCTCAATAGACAGGTTAAAGATTTAACTTGGATTGGAGAGGATGCTGTAGAGTATTTAAGATGAATACTGACAAATATTTTCGTAAATACACTTGAAATATGATTTTCTTCTCCTCTAGTTTCTCCCTCAAGCTACCTTCAAGTCACAACATGTTCTAGCACACTTGAGATGCAAAGGATCCTGAAATTTTTGCAGCATGCTTCTGCAGTTCCATATTTCCATTGTTTCAGAAGTTGAACGGTATGGTGCTTCAGGATGCTTTTTGAGGAGAGAGAAAGTACAAAAGTTTCATCACACTCGTCAATTTTTCAGAGTTGAACAGTCTCTCCCGAGTCCAGATGATGAAGAAGAGTTTCATTTATGTCCATTGCCATTGAAAGTGCTAGTGCCTCTTCATTCGCTATTGCAATTGTTTCATACTTTATTTTGCACTTCATTGTATGTATGTGCTGGTATAAATACTCATGTTTTGCAGCAGTCTTTGTAATCAAAACTCGATTCTTCAATCCAATTCTATTGATCGAGCACTTTGAAACTCTTAATCTGACATCAACAATTGAGACCAAACAATTTTTAAGATATCATGAACTTGCCCTTTTTAATAGACAAATGAATAGGTTGTCTAATTGAAGAGAATCTGACTTGCAAAAGGAGCTTAAACTAGTGCTTTTTACACTCATCAGTTGGGAAGGTGCTGCCATTTTTCCATTTGCATTCGAAACATCTTAAGTTCGAGAAGGTTTTAACCTCAGGTCTCTGCGGATGCGAAGTTTCTCGACAATGTTGGCACTCATGTTTATATGGTTGTATATTTTGCCGGCACACCCAGTTTAATCAAAGATGTCTCAATGTAAAAGCTTGCATTCCAATGGAAGATATATCATTTTCTAATCAATTTAATATACTTTGCCATTTCTTAAAATTTTGCACTCACCAGTTGACTAGAGATGATTTCTGCCAGGGGACAAGGTGGTGGTGGGTGGTGAAATTTGATGGCAGGATGACCGCCACCAGAGTATCCTACAGTGTATTAAAGTAGAAAAATTTTAATTACCTGGACTTCTAAATTCAATATAGAGAAATGCAGATTCAGCTTTCTCATTTGAAGCAGTCCTTTAAGTGACAAAGTTCATATTACTTGCTAGTCCACAAAGAAGGGTCAGGGGTGTAGTGCCAGTTTATCTCGAAGCACCACATTGCATTACACGCCCTGATAAAGGAAAACTGAATTAAGTTTCTTCCACATCTAACGAAAGACAGCTACATAAAAGTGAGATCCCAAATTTATACAATCTATTGTAACTTTCAAGATAGCTTTCTTTCTGTTATCCACAAATAACAATTTTGATGATTAACACCCATAATAGCATGCCATGAATAGCTCTTCAAAATTATCTTCGGCCATTGTTATGGCTTTGGCGAAGCTCTGATCTGGGTTTTGCAACTTCCACAAATATTACCCTGCCATCTAAGAACTGCAGGGAAGTGCTCAAAATATTACATTTGTGAAGAGAAGAAACAAAGGAAAATAATATCACTACATGGAAATCCTAACAATTTGCAATAAAGGCTTGTGGAGGGTCTACATTAGTCTTGGCAACAAATCGAGACCCTGAGTTGCAGTCAATGATGGTTGACGGCATCATTGAGACCATCTGCATCACCCAGATTTCATAAAATCTCGATACTTTTACATAAAATCACAAAATTGACTCAGCCAAGATATTAGAGATCAGACATTACGTATTCCTGAATGGTTGTTCGTTTTCCTCAAATGCCATGCTTCCAAAGATCATCTAATGATCTGCAGGTCAATAATTACATACACCAACAAAAAGGTAGATCCCTGATTTATTGAACTTGCTTTTGATTCTCATTGCAAGTTCATATGAAAAAAGCGTAGACACTTTCATTTCAATATTCTGCAAGTACACTTTGTTTAACTTTCAACGCTGTGTTCAGCATTTTTGGTTTCCTAAAGCTATCTTCCTACAGAAATGCCAAAACCACATGGCAAAAAACTTAGTCTATTAAACGTGAATTGATCATAAATATGAGGCATCATTGAGTAATATCACCTGAATGATAATAACAATCACTACATGAGGATGGCATAAAAGCAATTTGCAAAAGGACATTAGTCCTAGGAAACAACAACAGTGAAGGCCAGAGACTGATATTAGCATAGACTACTAAAGAATGATATTTCAACAGAAGACTTGCTTATGAAAGCAACCATGTGTACAATGAAGGCAGCGAACAAGTTGCAAATAGTTTGGGAAAATGGTGCTCCTTACGGATGGTGACAATGGTGGAATCTATGCTTACCTAATCGCTTTTGGTGATGTATCAACAACAAATGACCTGGTTACAGTCAAGTGCGCATGTGTATGTGATGTCTTGATCAAACTTTTACAAACTCTTCCCTAGCTTATTAAATTCTCTCTGTACATGTTCTGGTTACAGTAATCACAGTAAACCATGTCCATGACTTCTTTGTGGACCCAGGACACCATAAATCTCGTTGTAGAAACAATTATAGGCCAAGGAAGTAATGTAGCAAGGTATTTGACACAAATGATTATCTACTACGCAAAAAGAACAATACAAATTGATCAGGTTGGATGGATACAATTTCCTAAGAAAATGATACCTAGAACATACCTTGCCATGCATTCCCTCAATAGCCTTTTGAGCTTCCTCCTCAGTCTCATAACGGAGGAAGGCAAAGCCTCTCGGTCTTTTAGCTATTTTATCCATTACCAAATTGACTGTTAACATATAGAGAGAATACATTTAGAAACCCACAACACATGATGAGCATACACAAAAAATGCAGCTCTACGAACTAAGAGCAATATAATGGACACTGTTCTCACCATCAACGAGTTGCCCAAAATTTTGGAAAGCATTTACCAAACTCTCTTCTGTAGTACGAAAGGATAACCCTGCATTAAATGCGCCCAAATTAAAGCACTGAAACAGGCAATGGAGTTGAAAACAAATGGTCTGGATTCCTAGGTGAGCTGCTTGTAATACTTTTCAACAAGACATGTCTCTTATGACGTTGTGAAAGTTAACAATTCTTTTCCTTACTTCCTTGAGATTTAGCTAAAAGATGAACAGTTTCTTTTTATTACATCACGACCAATAAATAGCAGAACAAAGTTTGTCGCTTCAAAGATGCCCAAATTTTTTTTTCAGTGAAAACATACGAATTTCAACAATTTGGGTCTCCACTCTGTATAATAACTCTCAAGTAAAACCCCCAAAGCAAAGGGTATATACTACTTTCTCATCAAAAGGGCCCGTTCAGACCCGTTGGAGGTCCAAAAATGAGCTCTCAAATGAACAAAAACACAATATAAGTGCTTTTGAAATTGTCTTCAACTTTGATTTTCATTTCTAAGATTTCTGATCATTCAGTATCAAAACCAAAATTGGGGCCTAATCCATTTTCATAGGTTATTCATCAAGCATCCAAGCACATACAAGACGAAGCTTATCATGGATGCATGATACTATTTTTCTCAAAAGAACCAAAAAAAGGTTAAATTAGTTTGAAAAACAAAAAATTTGTGAAACCAAAAGATTTTAAGAAAAATGTCAATGACAACGTAGTGAAGGAAAGGAACTTTTGCTACAAACGTTCTAAAATTAGTACAATTCACAAGGAAGCATTAAGAAAATAAAAGTCCAATTTACCAACAATCAAATCCCCTCACAAAATAAGAGCAGCCCCAGATACACAAACCCAACAAAGAAAGTTTTTTAATCATTACATGTTATACGACCAAACAAGAAAGAATCCACTAATTAGCATTGAGAGGGGAAAAAAAACATGAGAAGGAAAACTAACCACTGACAAAAAGCTTGGTTTTTTTGAACGTGTAACCAAAAGAAGAAGGAGAAGAGGCTGAAGAAGAGAGGCAAGCTAAGACAGAGCTACAGCTGTTACTGTCTTCAAGTCTTTGCTTTTCAATATCGTTTAAGCCAGAGTAATAGAAATGGCTTCTTCTAATCTTAGTTTTAGCACTAACCCATGAAAGAGATGGGTTCATTGTCATCGTTTTCGCTTTAAAGGGTGGACTTGGAACTGGATTGGGTGCAATTTTGAAGCTGAAGATTGAGTTTGCTGTTGCCATTTTCTTCTCCGAGCAACGCGAGTGGAGTTCTCTCTTCCTAGTCCAATCTTGCTAGACTTTGCTGGGTGGCAAATGGCAATTTTCTTTTGAGACCTTATATGTTTTCTTTTCTCAATTAAGTACAAATACTTTTGTAAGAGTTTCAATCAAGTCTTCTTTTGGAAGCAAATGGGTTCTTCACCCGTAATTTCAATGAAGAAACCTACACAAAGAAAGGGCTTGGTGAGTGGTACATAAACCCTAAAAGACGCATTTGATCGTCACTATCCAGAGATGGCAAAGAAATATTGAATTAAAATTCGATATTTTCTTGACATCATATTCCCCGCGAATCAAGAAATGTGATGCCCTTTTAAAATGACGAGAATCACATTTTTTTGGTGGAAAATGTAAGAGTTTTATTTTATTTTATTAAAATACCTCTACTATTAATATTAAATGGACTAATGTACCAAAAATCTTTATTTTGTTCTTTTTGAAAAAGTACATTTTATGTAATTTGTTAGTAAATAAATTATTTTACTTGATAATTATAATTATAATTAATATAACATGGATGTGTTGGTGAGATTAATAATTATTATTATTTATCAAAATAAAACATCATAGTGTCAAATTAGATACTTAGAGTTTTGAAAATAAAATAATGATTTTGTTTGAATTCTTCGTGAATTCTCTAGTATAAACCAAACACAATAAAAACTTATTACTATAAATTTTCATTCTCAACCAAATACAAAAATCATATTTTCAATAATCACATTGCATAAGGGCATCTAAAAATCCGCATAGCAAATGTGCCGATAAGGTAATTTATGTTAATTTTTTAGGGATCATAATGACAATAAATAGAAATGATCAACTTCGTCCTTTGATTTTCAATACTCTTTCAAAAGAATCTTAATTTCGTCAACTCGTATGAAACTAGATGAGTTCCTGCATAATTCATTCTCCCTCGACTCCCAACCTATTTCCAACCCACATGATTAAATAATATAACGTTATTTTTATGTGTTATTTATAATTTTGTTAATTTAATAATTTATTACTACTCGAACTTGACATGGATAAGTCTAAATAATCAAAATATATGAAATATTAGATTTTTTTAAGAAAACTTTATTTAAATCAAATTATAAAATATATAATAATTTATTATACATAAACTGAAACAGGAATAAAAAGCAATGATTACAAATAATCCAGAAGAAGTTAAGCGAAATCTATTAGTTTTTAGGTTAATGGCTCTAAGCTTCTCTTTACTCATATATTTTTTTAATTTTTATCGTGTTTTTTAATTTTATTTCAATTAAGTTTGTCATTTTATATTTAATTTTTGTCTTAATCATATTTTTTTATTAATTTATCGAGCCAATAGAGTTAATATTATACCATTAGTAACACATGATTGCGAGGGTCAACTTTTATTTTTTATTTCTTAACCTTGTCTTTCTATTCTTTTTTGGTTATTAAAAAAAAAGAATCAGGAGAAAAAAGATGAAGATATATTCAGTTTTTGAATCACTTTTAAGTGAACATACCTAAAAAAATCTTAACAAAATTTATTGCTTTAATGTCAAATTAAGAAATGATTAATAGGTGCAAGAACCTTTTTTCTCGTAATTATCGTGTCTTTATTATCAATCAAAAGTTTAAAAGATTAACTAAAATTCTCTTGATATTTAAAAAAATACTATAAATATTTTATTTTATACTTAAAATTTCTTATTATCATAGAAATAAATTTAAAGTCATATAAGATATTTTGGATAATATATATATATATATATATATATATATATATATATATATATATACATATATATTTTACTTTTAAAATTTTTTATTTAAATTCGATAAATAAGAAAATAGATGAATGAGATTAGGATAAATTAAAAAAAAAACTTATACATGGTGCAATTTTGTGGTGGTAACGATGAGGTTTAACACCATTAGACGAACAATTTAAGGGAATGGCACTGTTAAAAAAGAAACTTCTAAAACCAAAATTCTAGAGAAATTTTAAACCCAGACCGACAAGAATACAAGTACAAAAGTAACAAAACTAAATGCACTTGCATTTTTACTAATTCCTTAAAAAAGTTATTTTTGTTATCAATTGGGTCAATTAAATATCTATATTTTTCAATATAATTTATCTAAATGAAAAAAAGAAATATTTAATAAAAATGGAGTATGATTGATGATATTAATATGATAATTAAAATTGATAATAATAAAAAAATAATTAACTGATAGAGATAAATTTTCAATTCTGAAAAATAATACTCAATTCAATTGGGTAAAGCGAAAAATATAACCGTTAATTAACCGAATTAATAAAAAAAGGATGCTTTTTGACAAATCGGTGAAAATAATAGGTTCGGCGGAAACTAATCTAAACCATACTTCGTCCCATAAAAATAAAAGAAATTGAACATAAAATGGCGGCCGCCGTTACCATGGCTTCTCTAAGTTTAGCCAACAGTAATTCCATTCGAAAATCAGCAGCAGTACTATACCACTATCCATGCCCAGATGGTGCTTTTGCTGCATTAGCAGCTCACCTTTACTTCAAAGCCTCTTCTCTTCCCGCTCTTTTCTTTCCAAACACAGTCTACAACCCCATTAAACCAGACCAACTTCCTCTCCATCAATTCAGTCATGTCTACCTTCTTGATTTCGTGGGGCCTTCTGGTTTTGTCCAACAACTCTCCTCCAAAGTTCCCAGGTCTTAAAAAACCTCATTTTCTTGATTGTTTTCGTTGCCAGTCTCTATTTTTGTTTGTGTTTTTTATGTTTCATGTAGTAATTTTTACATAGACTGAGTCTGCTAACCAATTGTAATGCTGGGATGCTTTGCATTAATCAGTCTATTGGTTTGGTCTAGGCAGATTGATTTTATGTAACAATTTTGTGTTTGATAAGACAAGTTTGGTTATTGATTGGTGCTTCTCTTTTGGTTTTTTATGTGCTTCAGGGTGGTTATATTGGACCATCACAAAACAGCAATGGAGATGTTTAGTGGTGGAAATTTCGAGGAGAAAATGTGAGTAAAGTTATAGATATGGAAAGGAGTGGGGCTACTATTGCTTTTGATTATTTCAAGCAAAAGCTTTTAAAGAGTGGTGAGAACAATAGTGATGAGATAATTGGTGAATTTGATCGTGTTAGGCGGATATTTGAGTATATAGAAGATGGGGATCTTTGGAGATGGAAACTTGAAAATAGCAAAGCTTTTAGTAGTGGTTTGAAAGATTTGAACCTTGAATTCAATGTTCAATTGAACCCCTCCTTGTTTGACCAGGTGCCTAATTCCCCTCTTCTCTTTCTGTTTGTGAGATATATAGTTCTTGAATTATCATCATAAAAATGAAAGTTCAACATGATCAGTTGCATAGTGTGTGCATCATGACGCAGGCCTTTGCCTTTTATGATTAAGAGTCATGTTATCTCTATAGTTTGTTCTTGAGATGTAAACAAGCGATGTTTTGTTTAATTTCTGCAGTTACTGTCATTGAATCTGGAGTCTGTCATTAGTCAAGGCATGGGGAGTTTATCAGCCAAGCAAAAGTTAATAGATGACGCCCTTGATCAGTCCTATGAAATTGTACTTGCAGGTGGAGCCTTTGGACGTTGCCTGGTATTCTGCTCGCTTACTCTTTGTTTTGGTTGGGTTCTGGATATAGAAAATATACTTGTTATTTAAACATTTAATCGCCAAGTCCACTTTCATCCTTTATCCAAAATTTGATAACACCAATTAGGTTTAGTTTTATTTTAAGGTTGCAATCGGTGTCACCTTGTCCTGGTAAAGCCAATATCAATGTCTCTGTTATTCTGTCTGAATTTTCAAATGAAACTTATATAGATTGATTTTCCTTTTAACAACGATTATTATAATATGGTTATTAGACTGTAAAGAAAATGTAGCTGCGGAAAAAGATTCATATTTATTTCCTATTTCTTACTGCACACTTGTTTGATCTGAGTTTCATTTTGATTGTTCTTGAAAATGGAAAGAAAGTGAAGAAACTTCTAATTTCATTCTCCTAAACGCAGGCTGTTAATGCTGATTCGGTTTCAGAGTTAAGGAGTGAATTAGGGCACCAGTTAGCTACTAAAAGCCGTAATCTGAAGTTGAGGTTAGTGATATCTATTAGTCAAAGCCATTCATTTGTACATGCATTTCTTCGCTTTTTGTTCTATTCAATTTGTTTTCATTGAATTAAAAGCTACGTATTATGGTTGTTTGTGTGATACTGTCCTTATTACACAAGTCTTTAGGAATAAGAGAATTAGAACAGCTTTGCATTATCTATGTTCCTCATAGCATTGAACCCAATATCTATAAAAGCTTAGTCTAAAAAAGGTTTAACTGATATTTGCTCATCAGAGGCATGCACCTTTTTATAGTCACCTGATTCTTTTATTTCATTTTTTAATACTGAAAAACATATTGGAGGAACTCCTTATCTATCTGATGCAATTCTGGTCCATGTCGATAGAGGAGACTTCTTGGGTGATTCAAATTCAGGGATTTAGGAATTGAAATTCAAATATAAAATTTTAAAAATGAACAAAATCAAATAACTACTAGCACCACAATGATTGAGTTAAGAAATCACTACTTGAAAGAAAGAAAGCGTTAAATCACATATGATGAATTGCTCAAATGCAACCAAGAAATTCTTTTTCATTCTTTTTATGTTCTAGACAAAAAAAAAAATTGCTTGCGTATTTATAGATCTTTAATACCCAAAGTAGACTTAAAATGCTTATGATGAATTGCTTGTTTGCGTGATTCACTGTCATTGTTATACAGATTTAAAGTTTTATTACTGCATTATGTGGGTAACACTAAAAAATCTAACTTATGCGCATCAAAATCAAGATAAATGCCATAGAAAATAAAAAATAAACCTCAACTTCTTTTGTATTATAAAAGAATTCTTTTGATATTAAAGTTATATTATCTTTGTTATAGGATTTTGTATTTGAGAATAATACTTGTGCAATTAATTTGATTTTTAAGCAAATAATAATACTAATTTGTCTCAGCTTGATATTATCTCTCACAAATCCTATGTGGGACAATCCCTAGAAGCTCTAGGAAAAAAAGAAGATAAATATCAAGCTTTTTTGTATTATGAAAGAATGAATTCTCTTGATATTAGAGTTTATTAATTTTATTATAATATTGTTTTTGAGAATAATACTTATGCAATTAATTTATTTTTGAATAAATAATAATGATGATTCTTATGCAATTAATTTGATTTTTAAACAAATAATAATACTAATTTGTCTTGACCTGATGTTATCAACTTAAAAAAAATCTCTTACAAATTGTATATGGTAGCACCAAAAATAAATCCCCAGAAGCTCTAGGGAAAAAAAAATTTGCATCACAAAAGAATGAATTCTCTTGATATTAAATTATTATAAGATTTTTGTGTTTGAGAATAATACTTATGCAATTAATTTAATTTTTAATACCAATCCTAATTTGTCTCGACTTGATTTTATCAACTAAAAAAACTCTCACAAATTCTATGTGACTGCACCAGAAATAAATCCCCAGAAGTTCTAGAAAAAAAAATTTTTGAAGCTTGTCAAAAAACTTTAGATTTAATATATATATATATATATGTTCAAAGGTTCGGACTTCAGAACATGTGATTTTCATTTCTCCTAAATGAGTAGGAAAAAGTAGAAAGAAAAGAGGACCCTTTTATTGAAAATATCATGGATACTAATGAAAGATACTTCTATCATGTTGTAATTACTCTTAGAAAACCCAAAGCTCTTGCTCCCAACAGAGGCAGAACAGCCTCCAGTACTTAGTCTTATCTCATTGAAACAACAAAAAGTTAGCCGCTGCCATCACATCAGAGAAATGCATGTTGAACTTATGAAATTCAATGAAAACTCATTCCTTCTTGCTTGGTTGATAATGGCTTCTAGATGTCTACTAAGTGTAGGTATGACTATGATGTCATTCAATGGCTATCAAGTTTGAGAAAACTTGACAGTTGACACAGAGAGTAGTTAACAGGCTTAAAAATGAAATCAAGCAACCTGCAAGCTTGTATGTGTATGGATTTGATGAAAACTCATGGGAATGTAGAAGCAGTCCAGGTGCCAAATTTCTGCATCTCCTCTTCTAACTTTGTAGTGCCTTTTGTTTCTTGTGTAGGGGAATTGGAGCCATTGTATATAGAGTACCAGAGCTTGAAAATGATGAGATGCTGAAAATCAGCCTTAGGAGTGTGGACAGCGAAGACACAACACCCATATCACAGGTCGTTTTTCTAGCGATTCTGCTCTGTTCATTTTTTGTTCCTCCTGCTAGCAAGGCATCATTTACTCCTCTTTGTTCAAAGCGCTGAAATTTGTTTTGTGGCTCATTTACAGGAATTTGGTGGTGGTGGGCATCGAAATGCCAGTTCCTTCATGATAAATTCTGCAGAATTTGAGCATTGGAAGGTTGACAAAAGTGCTGCATTCTAGGCAATTATGCGGCGGCTAGGTACTGGAGTTGTTTCAAGGCAGAGATAAACGTTGCAGTGGTTATCCAGAATGCACGAGCTCCCAATGGTTTCGTTTCTCCCCTCCTTTTTTGTTTCCCCCACCCCCGTTTTAAGCCTGCCTCTTTACTTGTCTTTATTTAGGATCATATATATTCACCAAGTTTCCTATCGCTGACTCATAGGCAAAGATGGTGTACCATTAATTTGTCATTTAGGTCGTCCAGTATAGATTCAAATTTCTGTAAAGATTATATAAATTAGACTTCAAATAAAGCGACGAGTTCAGGAGAGACAAGGCATGGCAACAAGTCCGAAGTCGCTCAGTTGGGTCATGCCTTCTGGAGGAGATTGACATCCTCGTACTGCATCAATAAATGATTTTTTTACTTCTGACACTGTCCAAGAGTAGTGAGTTTGGTCATCCCTTGTGGAGGGAGAAAAGCTTGATGTTGCAACTTCACTTAATTTGAAGCCTACTCTACCGATGTGGTTTATTCCTGACAAGCTTGCTTTGGATGCTAAGCGGCAAGGTTTGTGACTTCATGTTCAAACCATGTTGGTGGTCCTTCGGAAATTGTTGTTGTAGGTTGAACTTGTTCAGTAAATGCTGCAAGTTTGTTCAGTTTTATATTTATCACATTTTATTCAATTTTACTCAATTCTAAACAAACTACTCATAGCTATGCAACGTGACACCTATTATAATTAGTATTATTATTATTATTTAGAAAAAGGCATCACGTGATACTCAACGCTTTGATTAAAATTTTTGAACATTTTAAGAAGTAAAAAAAAAACCCTAATTTATTTCTATTTTTATAGTTTCTTAATGTTTTTAAAAAATTAATATGGCTAAGCATTTCCTAAATTTTTTATTTCTTGATAATTTATTATATATATTTTTTATTTTTTATTAATGAGTTGTGCATTGCTCATGCTCATGGCTATGGCCCGCTATTGATCCTCAAAATTATTAGTTAAGAAGATTTATTCTTTTTTCTTTTATTATTATTTTTTTGGGTTCAAATTTTTGGACAATATGTATAGAAATTTGTTAAATTTTTCTAAATGCATTAGATAGATATGAAAAATATGTGTTTAAAATCATATGAAAATGTATTTAATTTCGACAGATCAATATGAAGATGATGTGTCCAAATCATTATATTTGGGTTTCTCTTTTATTGATATTATGGGCTAGATATTGCCGGCTGGGCTATGTTCGTTGGTCATGTGTTATTGGACTGGTCAGACCTTTCCTGCCATGGGCTAGGTCTTTTATATGTGTGCATTTTGACTTGAGTCCTGTAAATGATCGCCAATTTTGACGTTTTGGGCTTTAGGCCTTTTATTGATGTCGATGGATCCTTGAAAACAGAAAAAGAAGAAGAAATTCTCATAGACATAATAGCCTATCGTTTATAAATATTTGAAATCGTTTTAGTCAATATACTTGGACGTAAGATTGTAAACAAGATTACCTAAAACGACATAGAATATGTCGTATGATTAAATTATACTATGTCATGCTGCATTATGGGATAAAATTTGTATTAATTAATAAATATATCATTTGGTAGTTAAATACACACACACACACTATTCTCTTTAACTACCAAATGATATATTTATTAATTAATACAAATTTTATCCCATAATGCAGCATGACATAGTATAATTTATCCACTATTAATATCTTATATCTAATGCTAATTAATTAATTATTTTGACCAAATAAACCTCTTCAAACTTCATTATTTACAAGAGAGAATTTTAATTTTAAATAATAGATAAGATATGAAAATGTCCAAATAGATAACTAAGGATTAAAGCTTATTAATTGTGAGCGTCAAAGGAACAAAAGCAATGTAGTAAATAAGAACAATCATAGGAGTAAGATATATTAAAAAATAACAATATTAATATTAATGCCCTTTTATTCCACAATTAAGTAACACCAAATCACCTCAAATAAAGGTCCAAAAACCTTTTTAAAAAAAAAACATGAAGCCATTTGATAAATTAGAAAAATTAATATTAATGCCCTTTTATTCCACAATTAAGTAACAACAAATCACCTCAAATAGAGGTCCAATATATATATATATATATATATATATATATGAAGCCATTTGATAAATTAGATACATTAATATTAATGCCTTTTTATTCCACAATTAAGAAACACCAAATCACCTCAAATAGAGATCCAAAAACCAAAAAAAATTAAAAATCATGATGCCATTTGATAAATTGGCTCTAGCCAGAGAGGCCACCATCCAATACCACAACAAAATAACTAAAAAATAACCCTCTAATGATTTTACTAACATTTTTGCACTTTATGCCTTATTGTAAGAAAAATATATCCAACCCACCGAACCATGCATGTTAAAGTTGCTGGTTAGTCAGTGAATGTGACATGAGAAATTTCTTCACCACCAACCGTAGCATTGTTAGAAGAACACCATGGTTCATCTGTAATGAACTGCATCCACGAATCATCTTTGTCTTCCTCTTCCGCACAAGATGATGATGCAATGGGAACATCTGGTGACATTGTTTCATAATCATTTATTACACCTTGCGATGAGCTCTCCATTAATGATACACTTGTTGTACATTGCCCTTGTTCTTCAATTTCAGAACATATTCCATTTTTCTTGAACACACGACACAATGCATAAGAATCCTGCAAATGCAACAAAAAATAGTCTTGTGATTAAGTACAATAGATTAGCCAATAAGGGAAATGATGCATGGCAGATAGATCTCAATTTTCTAGCAAGATATAGAGAGAGCAAATAAATCAAAGGGAAATCTTTTAGTACATGACAAAGTCAGCCTCAATAATTTACTGGTTCACCAATCACCATATGTATGGACTTTTTTTTTTCTTGAATCCTCAAAGTATCTCAAATTTAAATATTCGGACTAATCTTTCGTTAGTTTATTGGATAAACAAAATAGAGTCTATCGGATATATAAAATAGACATAACTATCTAAATATTTTTTACATATACAAAAATTCGAATTCAAAACTATTTACTTAAGTGACTAGAGCTTGTTTTGCTTAAGTTAACCAACCCTCTTGTGTCCATGTATGGACATTTAATCAGTAGTATTCACTCTTGCAATACGAAGGCACTCCTACCTTAATATCAGCTGATAGAGGTGGTAGGTCTAAGATAGTATAATGGAAGCTCATATTTTGTATGAGTTACATTTTTTTTTTTTTTTTTTTTGAACGATGGTCAGCTTTGTACACAAGAATAATGAAGTTCCTTCCTTCTTGGATCGTTCTTAGATAAACCATATACATCAGAATTGATATATTTTTCTCACGGTCTTTTTAAGTTTCCTACTTTAGAAAATGCATACGCATAGGTATATTATTAGGCAAACACAAAAAGAAAACAAAAATGTTACTATATATAACTATATATATACTCACACATTTAATATATACCATTGATTATCCATTCTACTTTGGATATAAACTTTCAAAGGGGGAAAAGAAAGAGGACATTGTTGAATGAGAGATCAAGCTACCAAGGGATTAACAAATGTTTATCCTAAATTAGAAGGAGATGGGTATACACTTTGATATCAATTGGCTGGTTTTGGTGTAATTGGAATAAAGTAAAAGGTAGCCGACACATTCTTACAAGATGAAAGTGATGGGGACTGCTTTTTGGGTAAGCATAGTGTTAATATATAATTTTATTAGTCATGGAATCTAGACTTGTAGAAAATGTAAAAAGATAAAGAAGCAAGTAATAGATATGCAAGAAGGGATTGAGTCTTATGGAGGATAGAACTTTTGTCTCATTACAGAAAAAACAAAGTGGAACCCAAGCTTTGTCACTTAGGGATCTCACTCCAACTGAAGCAAGGAATATGTCAGAGATTTGATGTCATAAAATATTTAAAGTACAAGAGGAGGTGATAGACTTAGAAAGTAAAAGCCCTAATTGCTCTAACTTTTCATGCAGAATCATGCACTTGTGTCACGTTCTTACACCTCATTATATTCTCTAGTTGCCCACTAGGATACTATGGTCTTTTCAATGTTTCGCAGAGAAACTTATTAATTTTGTAGTTTAACAGTTAATATTAAGCATAAAAACATGCAATTATCCAAAGACAAATCCTTGCAATTATGATATGCTTTTATTTGCTTTCTGTACTTTGGTGTAAAAGAGGTGTGGGTGAAAAAAACCAAACGACAGCAAAGGAAATGTTGCTTTTCCCGTTAGCTGAGGCATTGAAATTTTAGCTTTCCAAGTCAACTAGTGTAAATTAAAAACAATGTGTAATGAGTATAACTTAAGAATTACTCATTCCTGTGTTATTTTTTCAACAGTGAGGACCAGAAAATTGATAGTAGAATGAATAAGGTGAGAAAATTAAATGCGTAATGATATAACATCAATAATGCTCTAACGTTTCTCTCTTATTTTGTTTTTTGTTTTTCCATGAGAAAAGCAAAAAGAAAAAAAAGTGAGGACCAGAAAGTGATAGTAGGTGAATAGCAAACTGTTTAGTCTAGTTGCGTTCTCTCTAGCTAGTAAAAGAGGAAGGCATAGGAGAAACTGGGTTCAATTCTGTCCTAGCTTGTAAGCCATTTTGAGGGGATTATCTTGATTAAAATGGAATGATCATTTAATATCAGTGATTAGAATGGGATCATCTTGATTAAAATTGGACTTCTGATTAATTTATCTTAAGAAAGGAAATGTTGTAGATAGGATGATGATGATGATGATGGTAGTGGTGATAACAAGATGAAGAGCTTATTTTTCAATCTATATATATATATATATATATATATAATTCATCAGCAAAAGTTTGCATATCAATCGAAGAAAACTATAGTCATGCATTTAATGGAATGTTTAATCTAATGAAATCATCAATATCTATGTCATTGCATCCCCATGATCATTAATGGAGTAAATATGTCTTTAAAATTCATC